ATCGTGTGTTCTTATTTTGTACATACGGTTGTGTGTGGGTGGGGGGGGGTGGGGGGGGGCCTTAAATCATTTTTATTTCTGTTTGAAATAAATAAAATATGCTTTTTGCAGCAGTTATCTCTTTATTTTCATAACAATTGTTTTTTTTAATATACAATTAATTCGTGCTTTACATCGTGTTAAATCACATACAAAACGTGTGAGAGCAAAAAATTCTATAAATGGAAATAATCAACATCATTCTCATCAAACAAAATATTCTGTAACAATTATGGTTATAACAATTGTATTAACATTACTTATATGTCGAAGTCCAACAATAGTTCTTTGAGTTTTATGGTCATTTGAATTAACAATAAAATTTTTTTGATTCATCATCAAGTTCAGTTGTACGACGTTTTCATAATATAGCAAATTTAATAGCTATTATAAATGCAGCAACAAATTTTTTACCATTTTGTGTATTTGAACAATTATTTTGTGCTGAATGTTTAAATATTTATTGTTGTAGAAAAATAACAAATAAACAATCTTCACAGGAAATAAAACGAAAAGATAATAATGATAATTATGAAAATTTATTAAATAAACAAAAAATAATAATAAATATTAATATTCAAAAAGCAACTCAAATTCATAATGAACATTTACAAAATGTTTTACCATTAAATTCTGAAACAACATCATCGTCACCTAATCATTCATCATCTTCTTGTTCAAAAATAAATATTATTAAATTATATGATTCATCATGGCAATCTAATAATCATGAATAACAAAATATTAAAATTCCATCCTCTACAACATCATTATTAAAAGAAACAATTGAACTTTAATACGAACTTTTTATTAATAAAATTAAAAGCTTCGTAAATTGCATTAAATTTAGATTTTCCATGATATGCGCAGTTATTTTTTATAAGAAGATACATTAAAATGACTTTGTTTTGTTTACATCTCTGGTAATTGAATTAGTTTTTTTTTAAGAAGATTAGTAGAAGTAAATGTAGAGTGCAGTTTTATATAAGATTGAATTACTATTTATCAGAAAAATTAGACATGTTTTTGTCAGTTTCATAGTTAAATATCTCTTCGTCAAAATTCAATATTTATTTAAATAATAAAAAAAATATATTAACGTATTTGAATGAAATATTTTATATTTTAGACAATATTATTATTATTATTTGCCGGACGCCGTAATAGTGCATGTTAAATAGGCATTTTCATTAAGAATATTCAAACGATAGTAGTAGATAGTCACAATCAACATTTCATTAATCCCATTTATTTGAATTGTCAAACAATCTTTTAAAAATACAACTTTATTTACATCTTGTACATAAAATAAAGCATGTTTTTCAAATTTTCTATTTGTTTTTTATACAAAACAGATCTAATATTAATGATTGTTGAGGTATTATGTTATGACTTTTGATCAAAACTCTATGCATTAACCTTGACATTTATCTATCTACCATAAAACTTGATATTAACAGCATGTCTTCATCCGTTGACATTTTGCATAGGACATCTTCTATTATTAATTAACAATTGCTTCTATTATATCTTATTAAATCTAAACAATTATTTATAATTTTAAACCTTTTAATGAAACTATATAAATTTTAAATGTCTGTACATTTGGCATTAATAATTGAATCAATAACAAGCACATATGTAACAGAAGATAATTGTTTGAAAAAAAAAAGAAAAAAAAAGTCACTAATGGCTTTTTTCTTCATACATTCGTCGATTCACTCAATACAGATTTTTAGCAATAATAATAGTGACAACAGGTGCAACGGAAAAAGAAAAACTTCAGTTTTATATAATGTATGCAGCACAAAGAGATAGAAAAAGGTACCAAAATGGGTCACCACACAGCAAAAAAAAGGAGTAAAAAATTGCACGCCAAATAAGATAATACAAAAGAAGAAGACAAAAAAAAATTTCATTAGTTCGTGAAGAATGAATCTGACCGACAAGAGAAATAGAAAAAGAAAAGAAAAGATACATTGCAATCCTTTTGTCTATCATTTTCAATATATAAATATCACCATTCAAGAGATTGATCACTATCATCATCATCTTTAAATGAAAATAATTGAGATGATGATGTTGAATTTCCACTACTAATTAGTCACTTGTTGTTGTTGTTGTTTGACACGGTTCGACTGTTGTTACTCATGTGTACCTGATTTATTATTATTATTATTATTATTTAATTGATCTATTTCATCATTATGTCCTATATGTACTTGATGACGAAAATTCATTGGTGCTAATATAACAGCTTTATTTGTTGTTGATAAATCTGATGCAAATGTTGAAATATCTGATGGACCAATGTGTCTTTAAAAAAAAATAATCGAAAAAAAATAAACTTTATTTAGAAAAATTTAAACATACGTTAAATGAACAAAATTTTGTAGACCAGATATAATTGAACGTCTATTATGATTATTTAATGTTGCACCACTACCACCATGACTTATAGATGATAATGTATTTGTTGGACTAACTTGTTTTAAACCTGATATTATTTGTAAACCTTCACCTTTATCTAAATGTGATATATGTGTAAAAATCTTTTGGTCCTCGTATACGGTGCAATTGGGGTGTGGGTGTGGGTGTGGGTGTGGGTGTAGGTGTGGGTGTAGGTGTGGGTGTGGGTGTGGGTGTAGGTGTGGGTGTGGGTGTGGGTGTGAGTGTGGATGTGGGTTTGAGGGTGGGTGCACATGTGTTGGGGTGTGGAGGTGGGTGTGCATGTGTTGGGGTGTGGAGGTGGTTGTGGATGTGGGTATGGGTAGGTGTGGGTGCCGATGTAGGCATAGAGAAGAAGCACCCACACCCACACGCATTCACACTCACACACATTCACACCCACGCGCATTCACACCCACACCCACACTCATCCACTAAACCATTGAACTGTGACGATAAAAATAACGAGAAAGATGATGAATATTTTAAAATCATGGCTTAGTTAAACTTTAGACTATACTATAAAACTCGTCGTAAAAATGTGCATCATTAATCGCATGTTTTAGAATTTCAGAGATATATTTGAGGAAAATAGCTTCAAAGAAAAATATATGCAAATAACAAAAAAATTTCATTTGAGACATGCTTGTATTCGTTCTATTTTCATTCGAAACAATATGAGGTTATTCATACTTCAATTTAACAAATATATCATTGGGTTCAAAATTTTATTCTACCTCCAATGACACAGTAATAAATGTTGTATAGAGCAACTTCGGATTTTAACAACATGATTCTTCGCAGTGCATTCTAAAATAGCGGCAAGTATCAGTTCCGAGCCTTTTACTCTTGAGCAACAAACACTAAGAACTTTGAAACGGTCATGAAAGGATAAACCACAAAATTTTCTATCGTTATGTGTTAAATTCTTTATCTTTATCATTGACTTTGATGAGCAAAACTTTACACTAGTCGATTGATGCCAACAGAAAACAATAAATCGCAGTTGAATGGTTGAGTAGAATATTATTCTTTTTAATTACAGGTTAACAATAGAAATATATTTGAAAAACAAAGTTTATAGTTTCATAGAGCTTGAAATTCTATATATTTTAATAAAAAATGAATGAAAAAAAATCAAAATCATTTAGTGCAAGCTGTTTTATCTTATTTGTTACATTCAAAAACTTCAAAATTTACTGCATTTCTTTCCTTATCCACTATTTGGATTCAATAACACCTATTCCCTGTATTAAAATGTTAAACGATGAATATAAAACATATCTTGATAATCAACTCATTGTACAAACAACGTCTCCTTCAGAAATACTATCAATTTTACTATGTTTATATTATATTTTCGAAATCAAATTGATACGTCATTCTGGTAGTATTCATTTATTTTACCGTATAGTCTTTCAAGACCAAAATGAAAGTATTAAATTATTGAGAAAGCTCCTCTTATCATGGAGTTATAGGATTGCAAATAAACCAATGGTACCTTATCATCAAACTAAAACAAGATAAGCAACAGTAGAAGATATCAGTTTGATTCAAAGTAAAATATCAACTCGAACAAACGAAAATGATGCACAAGTTGAACAAACAGATTTTATTCAAAACGAACAAATAAAAAATGCTCATCAAGAACAAACTATCATTTATTGATGTCATCATCCACAAGAATTAGATGAGCCTAAAAAAATACTATAAAACGAGCATCAGATAGAAAAATAATTCAAGAAACTCGAAGGAAATCATTTTCAAACTGGTTCAAAAACTTTTTGAACTTCTATTGGAAGTGATATACTCACCACATCGAATGCATCCGAAAATCCATTTACGTCATTCGGCTGAAAATCTATAAATTCTGTTGTAGATCAATGTGCTTCTCAAACAACACAAACACGTTCTTTTGATATTGAAGCAACAAATATTCTGTCTAAGATTCCAAAAAACGCAAACAACCAACATCTCATGAAGGAGCAACAAGATTTTTAAATTGCCCATGATCCAAGCGAAACCGTTTGGCATAGTTCTTCAGATATTCAACATTGAAAAATTATTTCTCTCGAAATTTGTCTATTAATATTTTTGCTGTACTATTGAAAAGAACAGCTTAGATTTGTGTGAATTAACCGACTTTTTCTTTGTTTTTCTATCTTGCAAAACCGAATTATCTTTTCCAATGATATACGTGTCACACAAGGTCTTCTTTTCTTCACTTCTCATTCATTTTACGATGATTTTTCTGAAATACAAACCGAAAAAAAATGATGTTTTTTCTTTCCGTGCAATTTGAGGATATATCAAAGATGACGTCAATACCTTCAACACAGCCAAACAATTATTACCTATTTTCTCTTCACCTTTCACACATTTATGTACTACATTTATATGGACTGAAAAAACTCTTTTTTATTTTCTGCCAGAGTCTGCACACCTCATAATATATTAGCATAAACTAAGTATATTCAAAAATAAAAAACCTTCCACTGTCTCTTCATTTAGATTCCTACCGATTCAATATTCGTGCGAAGTGATATATTTCCGATGAAAAACTGGAGCTATATTTTTTTTCTCATTTAGATTCACATTGATTAAACATCAGTGTTCAATGGAATATTTGAAAACAACAACTGAAAATACTTCTTCGCTTCAATTGAATTTATACTGCTGCAAAATTGATGCTAAGTGATTAATTACAAATGAACAATTTAGGATTTTAGTTTTTCTTCACTTAGATTCGTACTGATTCAACATAGATAGTAATTGACATATTTCAGATGAACAGTTGGATATTCTACTTTTTCTTCATTTATAGATTCGAACTAATGCATCATTCCTGATGAGCCACATATTTCAAATAAACGATTTCATATTCTAGTAGTATTTGGGTGTGGGTGTGGGTGTGGATGTGGGTGGGTGTGGGTGTGGGTGTGGGGTGTGGATGGATGTGGATGCGGATGTAGATGTGGGTGTGAGTGTGGGGTCTGATTGAAGAAATAAACAACACCCACACCCACACCCACACCCACACCCCACACGCCACACTTACACACCCACACCCCAAACTCACACACCCACACCCCACACTCACACCCTACACCCACACCCCACACCCATACGACATCCACACCCACCCCGCGTGTTCTTCACCCTTTGATCAAATATTAGTCATTACCATTACTACTGATTAAAATTCTACACTAGTAGAATTATAAGAAAAGCAATAATGAGCCATACATGGTTATAGTCACCATTTACTATAGACATCATTTTTTTCTATTTCTTCTGATTTCGCTCTTCTTCCGCTTCAAAATTTAATTTTCAACATTTCTCCCTTAAATATTTTTCTCTTCTTTTTTTTCCCATTTTTTCCTTCGATATTTTCCAGAACATCCAACGAGTCATGTTCATCTATGTCTGAAAAAGTGTATAATTAACGACAACATCAATTCCAACGAGTGAATTCTAAACAACCAATGCACAACTAGTCCAACACATCTACCCATCCCTATCCGCATCGATTCTCGGCAGAAAAATGCCTTGAAGATCAACATAGTGTTAGCCAGACATCTATTCGTACAATTTTACTAGCATTTAAAGTAATTTATCAAGTTTATTGAACTGTGATGGTAGTAAGTTATTTAGAATGATAGAATCAATACTTTGAGATCAATTGATGTACGGTGAAAATAGTAGTGAAGATTTCAGAAATTCAAATCATGTGTAAAAATCTAACTACGAACTTTTAAATATAAGATTTATTTCTTATTCAATGGTAACCTTTTCTGTTGCACATCGACCAAAGTTTTCGGGCGAATACATTTCTTCAGCTTTTGCTGGTGGAATGATAAATGTGCCAGCACATGTTGCACGCATTATATAACTCCATTCATAAACGCCAGGCCATAATAATGACCGAAATGCTTCGGCACGTTCATCTCTTAAGTTTTCATGGTCAGTCCAATCGACAATTGAACATGGTCGATATTCATTATAATGATAATTTCCTTTTGACCTTGTTACTGGTGAGTTTGTATCATCTATCAAAATGCCTTTTAATTTAGTATTTAATGGTTCACAGCCAGCTGGTAAATAATCAATTAATGCTATATGATATCGTCGTTGTGTTGTTGCCATTGTTAATGTGACTCTGATTTTTTTCTGTAGTTTGAATTTCCAAGTTCCATCTGATTGTTTCTGAACATGTGATGGATCATCGATAGCTGTGTATGTTCGTTCAATTTTAAAACCATAGTTAACTTCATTTAATTGTAGACTTGACGGTGCATAATTCATTGCAATACGATAATATAAACGACCATTACCTTGTTTGTGCATGATTAGATTCTTATCATTATTACCCAAGTTGAATGACGATGACGGCGATAGGATTGCTTTCATCGGAATATTTATTGTACATGTATTTGTCGTTCGACCTGTATATGAAGAAAAGAAATCAGCATACATGATATATCTCGAAACCATAAGATTATATGTAGACATTTACAACTAGATAAGCAGATTGATAGATCTACGTAGAAAAGCCAAGATCGAGAAAACTATGTTTCATTTCGATGTCAATTCTACGAAAATACTGCTGTATGGATATGACAGCAGATTGATTAGTTTTTCTTTTGATTCCATCTTACCTTTATATTGGTGTTGACCACAATAATCAATGTCATACCAAATATTAGTAACGAAATCTGGTGTATCTTTTTCTTTGATATGAAAATATTTATCTAAGGCAACTAATACAAAACAGTTTTCCTGTGTTGATTTCCATGCACCTTTCACTTTATTTGCTTGTAAACCTTTACATAATTTAGTACAAAGAGTAGAATTTGGATCAATACATAATAGGGACTCTAATAAAATGGCATCTGTTCTTTGATTTGAATGTAACATCACTAATTGACCATCATCACCATATGATGTGATAAAATTCGCTGTTTCACTTGTTTCGTTTACTTTCCCTTTTAAATATTTGTATATTAATTCAATTGTTTGATGATTATTATCTATCTTCCCAGCAGATAATGCGACTAATAGCCATCCTAATGCTTCGAAACTAAGTTTTTCGAATCCACTTCGTTGAAATAATTGTAAAGCTTGATCTGCCACATTTTGAAGAAATTTCGCCCGAGCGTATAATGCATAACTCATCAAACTAAATCGAGTTTGTTCCGACCAATATTTACTGAATGATAATTGATCGATTTCGGATTCAATATTTTCAAGGTATTTTAGCACATTTTTCAGCATATTCTCGTCAACATCAAATACCTTTAAAGTTATAGAACATATTTGACATTGAAAAGTTATTTATAATAAAGTCTCAAGTAGAGTTCTAAACTAAACTGGAATAAAATTCTTACCTTTTTATTTGCTATAACAGCTAAACAATGTGCAACATGTACACTCATATATGGATCAGCATGAGAATCCTTTCGATTTGTCCAATAACCAAATCCACCATTTGGATACTGACGACCTTTCAATATATTTATATCTGATTCTAATTTAGTTTTCAATATTGATATGTCAGGTAGTTCTTTACAATGAAATGCTTGTAACACATCCCATAGTGATTGTATACCTAATAATCGCGAACTTAATTGTTCTGAACATTCATACGGATATGTATAAAGTGAAATAAGTGCATCAGTTAATGATGCTAATGCTGTTGAACTTGTTGTTATTGACAATCCACCGTATTGTGAAAGAACATTCTTTGGTGACTTTATTGGTTGAAAAACGACTTCTTCATATGTATCGCCATAGGTTGCAAATGCTTCAGACGTCGCTGGTGTAAATACAGGTAAACTTAGTTCAATTGCATCACCAAAGGATACAGATGTTTTATTTCTGGGAGTACTGATTATGAACTGATATCGAGCTGTACCAGAATGAATAGTTGTTACTGGAAATATAAGAGCAGCTCGTTTACTTGGTGGTAGTACAATTGAGTAGCCAACTTCTGGTCTATTTGTTTGGGCTGTCAACAACTTAGTATTGCTTGCTCTCAAACCAGCATGTAATAGTAATTCTAGACCAGTTTGATTTTGTAAAACAACTGAAAAATATGCCGTATCTCCATAATTCAGAAATCTTGGTAATGAAGGCCGAATCATAATTGGTAGTTGTACCGTAAATGACATTTCGCCTAAACCATATTGTCTATCATTCGTTGCTACTGCCCATACACGGTAGCGTGTTAGATTGTCAGGTAATTTAACTTCAATTGAAACTCGTCCCGATGAATCAGTGATTGATGACGGTGTCCAACATGCTAGGGGATTGAAGTTCGATCGAACAGCTAGTTTTTGTTCAGCAGCAGCTGACCCGAACTTACCGTGCATTGGACCACCACCACCGCCGCCGCCACCCTCTTCGTCATCGCTTAAGTAGAGACTAGCTTTTATCTCTTTCTTTAGTTGTTCTATATATTGTGCATTGAATAGCAAACACTGCTCTCTACTACGGTGTTGTGCGATATTTTCTGATCGACGAGGATAAAATATATCTAATAGACTATCTAATTTGTGATCAGTTAATGACAAGATTGCTTCATCAACAACAATTAAACAAACTTCTGCCTTTTTTACAGGTGCATTATCTACATATTGTTTGACGTCGACATCTATATGCATGATCGATGATGGTGTATAAATTTTATTTGGTTCTTTTCTAGTAATCAAAACATTTAGTTTATAAATATCTCTTGATACTTCTACTGTTACTGAACCAGTGGCGATTGCTGGACGACTTGGAGAATGAGTCAGTTCCATTACTCTTGGGATTGAACCCGTTAGTTCAGCGGAAGCTGTAAAATTTGGTATCCAATCTTTTGATATTTTAAATTCGACAGTTGTTGAATCTTTTCCAGATTCTATTTGAAATCGTATTGGTTGTGAGACTTGACCATCACAGCCCAGTATAAGCAAACCATTAGCTGGACTAAACGGGGCTAGGATTAGTAATTCACATAAGTCATCCGGTTGATAACTTTTTGCGTTCGGAATAATTTTCACTGAGTCAATTGGAATGCGGCAATTTAACTCCACTTCTTCTTTTTCTTTTTCGTAACCACCATACACATAAAATTTTTTATAGTAACTCATAGCTAATCGTTCTTGTTCATCGTTGACACTGTATGAAATGTTGTATCTACCCCCTAATATCAAATAGAAGAGAAATAGTGTTAAGAAAAAAGAAGCACATTGATCATTTTTTTAATTTAGAATCGCTTTCAATTTATCCTTAACTCCTGTTAATCGAGTACTTTCTATTGAGTTGATTGGTAATTTATCTCTGAGTAAAAACAGGTGAAACAGTTTTCTGTTAGTCTATTGACTCATTTTTCTTCTCTTTAACTAGAATAAGGAGAGTATCAATATGGATTAAATTCTAACTGTGTTTCGTTAATTTTACTCTAACCTACTGCAAGTTTTCTGATGACTTTGTATGACGCAAGTTTGTGTGGGGTGAATCCGTGGAAATGATATCTGAGTCTTTCATCAAAGGTTTTTCAAAGAAAATGGCTTGACGCTGAGTCTCATGACTGCAGAAATTCAAGCGCTATCGATTACTATTATATTCTAATCGAATGGTGATCGGAATGAATTGGAGCATACATTTTACTAATATCAAGTTCTTCAAGAGATGCAATGTTTGATAATTTAGTTTTGACTTCAATGAGTCAAAATGATTGTAGAAACCTATATCATGGGTGTCTCCATTACGTCTTGTTCTGTATCAATCATTCGTAATATTGAGCTAATTGATGATGATAATCGACTGTTTATATATAGATAGCATGAAATAACATCAGTTAGTGTCCATTTATACTTTTTTGAAAATAATAGCAGAAATTTCTCTAAAGTTCTCGAACTAAAACCACACATTCGTTACTGCTCCTTCCTGTTTTCATCAAATTGAGAAACTTTGATTAAAGTACCACTTAGGATCTGAAAGAAAAGACTTTATTATACAGGATCTTACTTCGGCGAAGTCAAATCTGTTTTTTGCTTCTTACAAATTATTTTTTTACCTAGTTTTGGTGTAAAATCAATATTAACTGGATCTTTATTTGAACTAACGATTGTTAATCTTTGTTCATCTGTTACTTCTTCAAATACTGTTAAACCATTCTGATCTTCTTTTTTTTCCTTGCCATATCCAACTACTTTGCATTGAACCAAAATATTATCAATTAAATTTCCATCAATATCTGTTACAATGACTTTTGTTTGCACCGGTTTGTCTTTTGTACCATAATTCTTTACGAACTGAAATCCAACATAATATTTGCATGGATGTATGAGAAAATTTGATCGTGTTTCTTGTGTTTGAGAATTCAAATCAGTAATGGCTGCTAATGCGTAGACAATTATTGGGCTTGGCTCTTGCTCGATACCATGATAAGTAATTTTTATTTCATGCTGACCTTTGTTGTTTGTTTTACCCTGAAATTAAAGAATTGAAGTCACTCTAAAAACATATATGAGCCTAAAATAAATTTCTAAGTCAACTGAACTATTCTCTATATACATTTGTGAAATTTCCGATGTTTTTTTTTTTCTAAAAACTCAGTAAAGCATCGAGTTGTTTAATTATTTCATATTTGGCGCCTTACTTCGTAGTATATATCGTGTATAGGCATCGATAAAGATAGTAATGCTTTGTTTAAATTAAACGACTTAATACTTCAATATTCATTCACTCTTAGTTCTTGTTTTCATCTATTCCTCAGCAGTTCTAAACTTGTCACAGTGCGAATCATAACACGAATCTAGTAGTTTCATACTTGAATCTCTGACTAAGTCTGCTTTTTTTTATAGAAATAATAGAAGCTTTGACTTTTATAAAATGTGATATACGAGTACATTTTTTTGTTTGCTAGAAATTTTAATAGATTCTTCATAAATGCAGTTCTTGATTGTCGAGTTAAGCAAAGTTAACTTTCTTATTAGCATATGATAACAATAAGATAAATGAAATAAGGATGAACAACAATTCTTGGTCAAGTCAATGTATAGAGACTGGATGATGTTTCAATCTGATTTGATTTTGCTTTCTCCCAAAGTAACTTGTCATGGAGTGTTTGAATAAAATCTATATTACCTGAAAATATTTTTCTGGATATGATATTTTGTTTTGGGTATGATCACCAGAATAGTAAGAGAACGACTGGGCTCTGCCAAACATATAGTCATATCTATTAGCTGGTATAAATTTTGTTGCTTCAGCGTGTACTGTCCATTGAACATTTGCATCACTTAGATGACCACCACCTATTATTTGTCCTTCACAAGTAGCTATAACGTGTTGATCGACAGTTGAGTGACAATAATATGCTACTGGCGATTGAATCATTGATGAAACTTCATACTCTGGTGTTCGAAACTCTCGAATTTGAAAATAATGTTGTGTATCAGTTTTTGAATCTGGTAAACTGAAGTTGACATATCCTTCACCTAATAATAATATGAACTCAAAATCAATTAATTCTTCTTTGAACTCAACGGATAAAAAAGCTGATTTCATGATGTTAGGCGATTTTAAATGATTTCAAGTTGATTTCCGTTGGTGAAATCAGTTTGTCCCCCTTTGTTTGAATTTAAAAACTTCCACTACTAAAGTCTTTCAAGAAACTACGTGCATAAACAGCCGATTTCGGAAACGTTCCACTTTAATCGTGAGAAACTGCTACACAGTAACGTATGGATGAGTAGATTTCTTCATCCAACCCAGTGCAATATTTAAAAATTTTTGCAAGACAATAATTAGCCAAAATTTTGAATAAGAAAGAGATCTCGGAATCTTATCCCACAGTATATCATCAAGCAACAGTCACAACATTACCCAGTGAAAAATTTTAGGGATTAAAATTGATTAAAATTAAAAAATCCTATGGGCGTAATCGAAATTGATAATCGGATTTTTCTGCAACAAAATCAAAATTTTAATCGATTGAAATCAATGTTACCAATCCACCTCAATCGATTAAATTATATTTTTAATCGATTGAGGTGGATTGGTAACATTGATTTCAATCGATTAAAATTTTGATTTTGTTGCAGAAAAATCCGATTATCAATTTCGATTATAATTGATTATAAATCCGACTAAAATTGATTGAAATCGATTGGAAGATTTCCACCGATTGGAAGAATTATAATTAATTAAAAAATCGAACTTTCATCGATTATACTTTGGATTTTTTCTACGCTAGTCATAGCGACAATCTACTAAAATTCGATTGCAGTTCGGCTTTTTATTAATTTTCATATTGAATTAGTTCGCTGGAGAGGATACTACAATCGTAGGGATTTCATGAGAATAGTGAGAAACTTACACCCTTCGTAGGATTCCCACTTGTAAGCTTTGTTTTTGGTGAAGACAAGTATGTTAAGGGATGCAAAGAAGACAGATCATATGATACCATTAGGGACACTAGACCTAGACTAACACGACTTTTAACAATCAGAGAAGTTTGCAGAATTTACCATAAATACTACTGATAGAATTTATTTAGTTTTGCTATGGATTTTTCTCTCACATATCCAGTTTCCTGGGAATTTTCTACACAATATCACACAGAAGATACTAGCTTTGACGTTATTTGTACTCAAGTATCACTGTAAACCCTAGAATCAATCATAAGTGCAACTACTTTTTTATAGTTATCTAATTGTTCTCTCACTAGTGCTGATACTCTTATGCTTGTTGCTGAACTAAACGGCAATGTATATATCCCTCTATCATTTCTGTTATGTTGGATTTCGACTTAAAGGAAGTAAATACTGGCTCTAAAGTTTTTTGAAGTAATTGACTTCTATGACGATTCTTAATACCGTTGAAAAAACACTTTAGAACCAGTATTTACTTCCTTTAAGTCGAAATCCAACATAACAGAAATGATAGAGGGATATATACATTGCCGTTTAGTTCAGCAACAAGCATAAGAGTATCAGCGCTAGTGAGAGAACAATTAGA